GTAACCCCGAGAGTAAGCTGGGTGATGTGGCAGTTCTAGACCCCGCAGAAGCTCGAGATGCGGAGGCTATGAGACCAAGAGATGTCATGAGTGACAGTGCACTAGGCATGTCGCCGGTTGATGGTCTCGAATCTATGGATGCTAGCTTGAAGGAGCTATCGCCGAACGAGGAGAAACTGCGAAATATCCTGGGTCGCATTCTGGGCATGAAAGAAACAGACATCAGGCCAAGTGATAGTTTCTTTGACCTTGGCGGAGATTCTATTGGTGCTATGCGTCTCGTTTCCGACGCCCGGGCGCAAGGTCTCAACTTAACGGTTGCTCAAGTCTTCCAAAGCCGCTCCTTGTCTGACCTGGCCGCTTCAGCAAGCAATGAACGAGAAGACAAGCTGGCAGAAATCCTTAGTCGTATCCTTGGTATAGCCAAGAGTGATATCAAGAGCAGTGACAGCTTCTTCGAATTGGGAGGTGACTCTATTGGCGCAATGAGGCTGGTCTCTGATGCTCGCGCGCAAGGGCTTAGCATCACAGTTGCACAGGTTTTCCAAAGCAAATCCCTTGCCGAGCTTGCTTCATCAGCCGAGGAAGAGATGCCGTCGCAACCCAAGACTAATGTTGATGCACCTTTCATCGCGCTTGGTAAGGATGCCAACCTCCACAGTCCAGATCGCGTGGGCGTGTACCTCGAGAATCAGGAATGGGAGATCACAAATATCTACCCAACGAGACCACTACAGCAACTCGCAGTCGAGGGAACTGTGGACCTACCACGTTACTCACTGCGTTACGAGTTGATCAAGTTTGCCACTCCAATTGACCGCCAGAAGCTCGAGCAAGCATGCCAGGAGCTCGTGGCACGCAATGAGGTTCTGCGCACTGTTTTTGTCAAAGATAACGAGTTGACACTCGGTGTGGTTCTATCCGCACTTAGAGTGCCTTACACGGAAACTGCAGTCCCAGAAGGCGAAGACGCCGACGCCTTCATCCAAGCAGGCATCAAACAAGACATCGAAGCACCCAAGCCATACGGATCGTCTTTTGTCGCTTTCAATCTCTTCACCCATCCCAATGGCGCTTCCACCCTCGTCTTCCGAATCTCGCACGCCCAGTACGATGAGATCTGCCTGCCCATACTCTTCGAGCAGCTCTCCGCTCTGTACTCAGGCACCACAGTCCCCGAAACCGTACCCTTCAGCAAACACGTCAACCACGTCGTCCTCGACAACATCCCCAAGGCAATTCCTTATTGGGAAAATCTCCTCTCAGGCTCCGAAATGACCGTCCTGAAACCCACCATCCCACTCACCCACCGCGGCCCCGCAGATATCTACAGAGAATTCGACATTTCCTCCCGCCCCGCTAACATAACCATCGGCTCTCTCCCTACCGCCGCCTGGGCCCTCGTCCTCTCCCGCCGCCTCAACCTCACCGACGTCGTCTTCGGCGAAGTCGTCTCAGGCCGCAACGTGGGCGCCCCCAACGCCGACCGCATCTTCGGTCCCACCTGGCAATACATTCCCTTCCGCGTGCCCTTCTCCAAATCCTGGTCCTACCTCGATCTCCTACGCTACGTGCAGGACCAACATATGACGTCTGCCGCGTACGAATCCATGGGATTCAGCGAGATTGTGAAGAACTGTACGAATTGGGATGAGGACAAGGTGCAGTGGTTCGATACGGTGGTGCATCAGGCGCCGGCGTGGGTTGAGGAGTTGCCGTTTGGAAATGGCGTCGAAGCTAAGTTCCAGACGCTGTATCCGCATGGTGAGCCGTTGAGAGAGTGGAAGTGTCAGGCATTTGTGAAGGAAGGGGGGAGGAAGTTGGGGATTGAGATTGTGACGTTTGAGGAGTGGATTGGGGAGGCGGAGGGGGTGTTGGAGGAGGTGGGGAAGGCATTGGAGTGTTTGATGGAGGGGAGGGTTGGGGAGAGCATTTTTTGAGCGGATGGGGGAAAGTGTGGTGTGATGGTGTGATGGTGTGATGATGGGGTGTTGATGACAGATCCCGTATGTAAGGTATTTTTAGTTTCTTGTACTGTTTAATGCAATTTCTTGGGCTTGTTGTACATATCTGCTGTATACTCGCATCCGTGTGATCGCTTGTAGTGTTTCCTAAACTGCCAAAGTTCTCCGGAAGCATAGTGCGCGCTGCTGAAATTAATCTCAAAGGTTCAATATAGTCGACTCACTATAGCCATATCACAAAGCTGTCGTGAACGTGCCATTTAGGCACCCGGCGTAACCTCGACTCAAGCTTAAAACCGGTGTGTTTTCCCCGGCTACATTGACAGGAATGCTGTGCAGAATCCTGTCCACGCCGCAGAGTTTACCAGCGTGCTCTCATCGATAGATCGTGAAATACAGTGTGCTTGTTGACGGGTGCGTGTATCATTTGTGAAGCGTCGCGCGATATTCCAGTGTGAAGCTTTGGTGTAGCAAACGGTACCTGTTGGACCCCATATGCGTTGCATGACAGCAGGATGCATATATGTTCAAATTATGACTCTTCTGTCTCTTTTGAGAAGTCTCCTTAAGGATATGACTATGAGCAGAGCCTGGTATATCAACGGCTGTATTGGGAATCTTGGCATGCATGTGAATGATAAAGTTTATCACCCTTGTCTTGTTGCAAGGGCTCCGTTCATCCCAACATAATCCTGAGCCTCCGGCGGCGTCATGAAGTTCCTATGATTAACATCTATTCTCATTCCCACAGCGATAGCTATCCTTGGGAAGTTCGAGCACGTGGCAGAAACGACAACGGGCTCCATCCCAGACCCCCAAATGAGCACCTTCAAATGCGACACTAGCCAAAACTTTTGCTTGAACGAGGTAATATGGGAAAAGGGTGCGTGGCTATGCATCTCCAGCCCATGCACGCCATCCCTGCTCCCAGGACATGGCTGCTAACATAAACTTTCTGAACCCGCTGCTTCCCACAAAACGAGTTAAGCACCCGTACTGATCGTAGCCAGGCATCGATTTCCAAAGTCTATTGCACACATATTGCCACGAACAATACAAGCACGACGCCCTTTCGTGTCACGGGTATATGAGAGCGCCATATCCTACACTCGACTGCGCAGTCTCAACAGGAGCATGGAACTCGGCATTCGCGTGTATGAATAGGCAGTACGGTTTCGCGTACCGTTGCAAGTACTGGTGTCGCGAAGACGCGCGTTTGAGCGAGTAGGCTGAGTTGGAACTCATCGATCATGTCCAAGAGTGTGCATACGTCAGCAAGGGTAACGGAAGCGACCGTACCGTAACTTGGGGGGTGACAACGCCGAAATTGCATGCTGCCATAAGGTTCTTGCTTACAGCCGAACAACACAGGGGAACCGAGATTGGAGAAAATGGGGGAGGGGAGGTGTCATCATCTTGATGTTTGTCACTCTATTTACGGAATGCAATTGGCTAAGGCTTATCGATTTCTTTTTTGGCGATGCTCGGAGCCACCCGTGTTCACGTAATGCGGCGTTTCACGTGGAAAGGTTGTAGGCGGTGGCTTGCTGACCCGTCGCCCCCTGGGTCATGCTCAGCATCTCATGTATGCTTGATAACTTCTTAGACGTCTACTTACTCCATGGTTCGGACAGGGCCAATAGATTTGCTAGTACAATCACTTCTCATTACAGTAGTCCTAGCTTTGAACATTTCAGTCGCAGTGGCGACAGTGGAGATCTTTGGAAACTTTTCAAGATGATGTCCTGGATATCAAACTCAGGACATTTCGAACGTCCATACCCTGCATGAGTGGCATCGGTACTAATGTTCAGAATCTTTATGAGTAGTTCATATGCTTTGAGAAAGTAGGGAGTGAGACAATGTTTACTCCTGCTCACTGGGTAGTCACCAAGGTGGACAGGTAAGTGTGGGTAATGTTGGCATAGCCACCTTTGTGCAGCGGAAAAGGCACAGCCAACTATATAGCAGCAAACCAGAGATGGAAGTTTCGACCCATTTACGATGTCACAATTTCATGATTGGAAAAAGGCTAAGCGAAATCAGGTACATTTCACGTATTGCATCTTTTTGACAGTTAGCTACGTTGTCAACTTGACAATTCAAGATATCAGACCTACTGCTCGCCCCGATGACTGATATAGACCGGTTTCTGGGGCACATCCAGAGTCGTTTTGTGCTTATAGAACTTTTTACGAGAGCGAGTTGCTATTGTTGCAAATGGATCAGTATAGATGTCTCGAAATCGACCTAGACATGGCCATGAGAAATATCAAACTCATTCCTGTCAACCCCTTCTCAAACTTCCAAGCTGTATTTGGTATGAAGTTTACCTAGCCCTGACTACGCAACTCGCCACTGGGCTCTGTCTTTGCTACTACTCCAGATATAATGGCGGCATTACACAAAAGGCATGACGTGGCGTTGAGGAATCTTCAAACACAGATCATCAACTGTGCTATCATCTAACTCTCGAAGCAATGACCCAGAAAGTGGCTTCACATGGTCAGTCAAGACTTTGGAAGAACGTGGCCGGCCCCAGAGATCACAGCACCTCACCGACTCTTCAGACCTCGATTCAACCATCCTTCCTACGCAATTTTGTACACATGTCCCTGTTGGCAAGGCTTAGGATCTGGACGAGGATCTCACATTCGCTTATGCTGTCTCAATGTTTAATGTGCAATGAGTTGTGCTCTAAAGAGATTTCAGCTTTGCAGACATGTTAGAAGCACTGAAGACGTTAACCAATAGCATTCTTACACGAACAAGTCATTAGCATTCAATCTCCCATAATCAGACCTTTGCTCCCGGGGCGCAGCAACCATTTCACATCAATTTATCATGGCGTATTCGGCGCGATTTGTATTATCTTCGAAGTCAAAAAGAGGAGCGCATAGAAGAAGAGTAAAATGTATACACAGGGTGTAAAATTATATTATCTGAAAAAAGATTGAAAAAACAAGTTCTTGCGCAATGGGGTCGACAAGACACCCAAAGACGTGGCGCAAGGCATGAGACAAGACAAAGGGAAATTTAATAGTCGTATCTGTAGCAGAGAGGTACGCTGAGAGTGTCGAGGAGGTCTCGGATGGTGAGATCTGGCATCATTCCGTATGTATTGACTGTGGTGTCGAGGGTGAGTGATCTGCCTTGGGCGTCGACTCCGTTTATTTGAGAGAGCCATTGTGGGTTCTTGTTGGTGAAGAGGCGTGCATTGCGGTCGAGATAGAGGTGGTGAAAGAAGAAGAATGGTTCACAAGGAGAGGCTTGGACATCCATCATGGGGCCTCCGATTCCATTGTGGCCAAAGGAGTGGTAACCTGAGAAGACACATCCGGTCATTCCAGCCCAGTCAGGGTAGTTGTTGCAAATGTCGACGTATTCTTGGTTGCAGTTCCTGGTGAGGGCGCCGTCACCGTTGCGCGAAAGACAATGAGGCTGGTTGGATGAGCCGGGGCCCACATTGCAGATAAGGTTGGCAAATTGCTGCCGACTGGAGTTAGGTGTTGGTCTGGGGATGCACTATTGGTCTCAACTTACACCATCCTTTACGCACTGGTTGTTGATTGCGAGGCTTCCAAGCCATTGGGAACTGAACAGGGAGGATTGCGCGAAGCGGCCAGCATAGCGAGCTTCGTCGAACCAAGCCATGGGTCCATTGAATCCACATTCATTACGCATCGTACGCTCCAAAAGAAGGAGCATAGCCCTGTGCCATAGAATAAATTTTGCATTGGTATGAATGTTAGGTGTGAGTATTTGGTGCAGCGCTGTGAGATCTTCGTATCGACTCTTGGATTGGGGAAATTGACCCGAAGGAGGGAGGCGCATCAAGCACTTGAAGGCATCGAAGTATTTTTGCCTATCAGTATTGCTCATACGGTCCCATTCTACGCGGATACTAGGGTTTGAGCATCTCTGAGCGCTCTGGCGCTTGTCGAAGTGAACTGAACCTATCACCTCGCTGACGTTGAAAGTGTATTCCTCCAAACGGGCTCTCGCCTCCTCGATGGGCACCGGCTCGTGCGAAAATTCCGTCTTAAAAGCCTGGGGGGGCAGCGACTTAGCCACACCGTTGATCAAATCCGTCAATAAGTTGGTCGCATCACCGGATAGCTTTGCTGACAGTGCCGTCACGGATGCTGCCAGTACTTGGGGCGAGGGGAGGGCGCTAACGCCAGCGGCCATGGCCAAAGAGGCTGTAAGAAGTCCGCACCGCATGGTAAAGGCTAGGTGTTGTATTAAATGTAATTGTAGGTAAGCAAATGGAAGATCTGGGAAAAAACAAAACGAGTGACTGTAGCCCAAAAGCGAAGGGGGCCTGCGTATGGACAAGATGACGAGCAAGCTGCCCAAAAGGTAAGAGATTAGACTCGGGCGGGCCTGTCATGCTTATAGCTGGACCTGCATGAACCGGCCGCCTCTGCGTGTAGCGTGGGTGGGCGCTTTGTCCTGCAGATCATTACGACCACTGGCCCCAGCGGGTTCCCACTTTTGACACCTGATCATGGGTTCTGGAAATACGGACTAAACGCTTCTTCCCTAGGTGGCCTAGGTCTGCAACGTTGTATTGGCAAATAAGTCAGCTTACACGAGCTATGGCAGCGGAGGCGAATGGAAAGGAGGCACCTATGCCGCTTCCGGCCTATGGCTAATTCGACGTTGCCGAGCTTCCTTGTTAGGCTCACTTTGTGCTGCCTAGGGGTCTCCTAGTAATAAATCATGGCCTAGCTTCCTACCTTTTCTACCGGCTACGAAGCCAGGGATAAATCGAGCAAGGAGGTCGCTGGCGCCCGAATGCTGCTGCTGCTGATGATGATGACGACGGATGACAAACAAACTGCTACACTGAAGGGCGGTCTGCACATGTTCCTACAAGCACTGTCTTGCGGCAACGATTAGATTCTGACCAAAGCCAAAATCCGAGAGCAGCAAAAAGTGGGCCGAGACATCGTGTTCTTCAACTTTGCTTTGGCGATTCGGTGCTGCCAGTGACCCAGATATAGAACCATGGACGGAACGGCCCTGTGCTATCCTCGGAGCTGGCAGCACGTACTCCACGTACGCCGCTGCCATTGCCATGACTATGGCTATGACTTGGCGCCTAGTCGTCATCGTTGGCAGTTGACATTTGAACTTTGTTAGCAGTATCTCGGTGAGGGGAAGCCGATGCTCTTGGTGTCAACGAATCACCTGAACGGGCCAGATTATCGCGGACTCCCGGTAGCGGGGAAAAGGGCTGCAATTTCCGCTCGGACGATCTAGATAGTACTGCTATTTTGAGCTCATCGGGATTCAAAAATTCGAATTGACCCTCGATACATGATCGTATTCTTAATCAAAGACTGACGAGCGATTTTGAGGATTCAATGTTCGCTGCGCGCCTGATCCCGTTGCAGTAGTAGTGCGAGAGGTGTGACGTGGAGGATTCATCCAAACACCACCTCGCCGTGTGTGCTTACTACCCCACCTTGGCGCCATTGGACACGAGGAGGCAATAACGCTATACCCGTTTGTTTATCTTCGTGGCTATCGAAGGCCTTGTCTACGGGATCAACGGCATACGGTGCTATTCCTGTCACCGACTGTTTTCCTTGCCGAACGACTACGGCGAGAGTGTCAGGCAACCAACACGCGACGTCTTCAGGGGTAAATGAAAAACGCTTGTTTGTGTCGCCATAGGGCTTGCCTTATTCTCTCAATAGACATCTGTCACACAAGTGTTGAGGATTTCCGGCGGGGATGGAACGATTGGCATGAAACTGATCATCAGAGTGCAACACTAAAAGACAAATCGCACAGGCAAAAACAACGCAGAGGTCCAAAAAACCACTGATGACGTCTATGCGACATACACTAACATTCATCTAGCCTGACTTTCAAGGCGCTAATGGTCGCGGGTGCGTGACATGTGTACTAGACATCATCAGCAAAGTTTACGGGTGCCATTGACATGTTGTGTCATGCACGCCACAATAGAATCTAGCAACAAGGACCGCAAATGACCGGACAAACAGTACGAGAACGTCTCCGCTTCTTCGCGAAATTCTTCCGCCATGGACTTTTGGTAACTGAAGCTCGTTGCACTCGTGCATGCTCGCCAGAATTCCCTCAAACCGCTTTTTATGGAGCGGTTTCCGTTACGAGTGCAATATCAGCCGAGGACGTACCAACCGTAGCCTTGCCAATCCTACCGTTACAAGAGCGTGGGCGTGGTAACCCACTGATTGGACTGTGCCACTGCCCGCCCGTTTCGACGGATTCCTGTGCAATTTCGTTGCTTGTTGGATGTTTCCCAGATGCGTCGCTGTGGAGTTTCTCTTCCCATTATCCCTGTGTTCTGTGCACAACAAAAAAATAAGCAATGGCGTTTTGCGTTGAGTGTGGGTGGGCAGAAACCCAGTCTGGCGTTTTCAGCCCTGCCAAGTCCCTTTCCCCCCTCTATACCCACCACATGAGATCGCTCAGAGACAACCAAAAGAAAGGAAAAATAAAACGGCCAAAATCAAACCGCTTTAGCGTGCGCGGCGTTGAAACCTGGTTCTTCATGTCGATCGACTTCCAAGCAGAAGACTCTCGAGCATCCTTATATCCTGCGCTGTTGATCCCTGAACCCTTCGCCCGGCCAGGAGGCGCAAACTCAACGCTCATCACAGTTCATCTGCACAACCGTTTTGTGTAACTCCAGCACAGCCACCTTCCTATCACAGCATGCATGCGAATCCTAGTCTGTAGGGGAGATTAAGCACGAAGGAAACACCGGGTCCGAGTTGAACGCCGAGACTCCGGCTCTGGTGCCGAGACCTTTCTACGCTCCTGGTGGCCGATTAGTACTCGAAGAATGGCAATCTTCCTCCTTTAACTGGCTTCGAAGTACTGTTTTCGCGTGTAACGTACATTGCATGCTGACTGTGTCGTCGTCATGATCGCGGCTGTTGACCGCTATAAACCCTGCACCGCCAATAGTCACCAATCACGGATTTAGGTTTGATGATTCGCTTCGTATGCAAATCTCGTTTCGGATAGTGTTTCTTAGCAATTATTAAGACTGTCAACGAGGCAAGACTGGTCTTACTCCTATTCCATGTTGGCACTCCAAGTAAGTACGAGGTGCTCTCATGGTCATGCCATCCCTCTTCGTCCATCTCTTTATCGGCACCATCGCCGTGGTCAATACCAAAGTAGAATGCTTCATCTAACATGAATCATTCTCTGCTTTTCCATAGGCTTTTCTTTTTTTCGAGATACGACAAATAGGGTTTGTAGAAACTCAGTGCGTCTCGTTGGCCACCCACTCAAATGGATTGTCTGTGAGATGTGTTTCATTTTAGCCCTTTTCGTCTTGATTATACATACATTTGCAACTTTCGCTCTCGTACTTTTGCAAACGAATCTTCGTACATTTCGGTGAAACTTGGTACCGTTTGTGTCAACTGGCCGATGGCGCGTGGCATGGTTATTGGATACGAATGCTGGTAGTGAACTAGAAACTTCAACAAAGGTAGAGCCGTGTCGTACAATCTGGCCCATTTAGAGTATTACTTCGGCGATAGAACTATACTACATGGTATTACTGAGTGTAGAAGTGGCAGGTCGCTTCTGATGCTTAAATATTGAGACGAAATTGCGTCATAGAATCAGCAGGTTTACTGGACATAATGTAAAAATATGGCTTATCACATGTCGCCTCAATGTCTTCTCTAGAACTGACTGTAACGTCCAGTCTGATACTTCTACAACGTCTGACATCTTATCAACCTCAGTTGCTAGAACACTCAATGCAAGGCTCTTGGTTGTGGAGTCGCCCTAATCGCTCAAGACTATAAATGTAAACAATATATGTAGGTAATAGGCTTATACATACGAACAAAGAAAAGAAGTGATTGGAAGGTCCCATTGAACATCCTGAAATGTAACCGGCCCCTGCTGGAAATGGATCTCCTCCACTTCCATGCGAGCCTCGAGATCAATGTGCGCCCTGTAAAGGAACGCTCTCATGGTTTACAAACATCATCACGATCACTATTTAGAGTAGCCGCCAATATATCGTTGTGTCGAGGAACTGAAGTGGTCACTTGGTAATGATTTAGTCTAGCAGAGCTGAAGATGCATGAAGAGGTTATGGAAAGAGCGAGCACGTGGCATACACGAATGTTTCACTCACCAGGCTGCTAACGATCAGTCTATTCATGGTCGAGGTCTTATCTCCAGACATCGCTCAGCAGCATGAGTTGGGAGTTCCGGGCACCACGGCCCATTATTTTCAGTCGTCGACTTATAAGTAGAGATTTGAAAAGATGTTCGCGTGACAAAAACTATTGAAAGGCATGACTAGGTTGATTATAGGCAGCTACTAGTAGTGCGCGTTCACTCTTGCGCTTACTTTGCGTCACCACAAGAGCTCACAATCTCGAGGTCGCATAGCAACTGCACTATGGACAAGCAAACGAATGGACACTCTTGAATATTCGCTTTCTTTTTGTCCGCTATTCACCATCAATGATGATAGATCTGCTAGCACACAATTCGGAAACTGACTAACCACATCCGATGTACCTCGGCATTTCCCCATCACAAGCTCCCTCAGCCGAACCACTCGTCCATACGAACCGACAACAACACATAGCTTTACCACTCACATGACCCTTTGACCAGCCATTTGCAGGAGTTTTGACAACAACCGGTTGCTTATGCAAGTAGGAAACACTTGATACATTGTACAAATAGAAAGAGCAAGGAGCAACAAGGAGCCAAAAGGCACGATAGCAACATGGCAGAAGCTTACCAGAAGGAGTTCTTCAACGTTTCATTCCCAGCGGAATATGTGGCGCACGTTGAGATCAATCGACCGGAGAAGATGAATGCGTTCAAGGAGGTGTGAGTATATGATTTCATTCTTTTGTCCAATGACGAGCCTATGCGGGTCGAAGAACAAGTACATACAGGTACACTTCCAACCGTGATAATATCCAAGAAAACATAAACAGGTGTATATCGCGTATACAACATAATCCATAGTTCTCAACAATTTCTCTCCGCAATTCCATACTAACATAACCCACAGCATGTGGCTCAACCTCTCCTCCATCTTCCGCCAACTCTCCCACGACCCCAACGTCCGCGCCGTGATCCTAACCGGCGCCGGCGACCGCGCCTTCACAGCCGGTCTAGACATCCAAGCCGCATCCAACGACGGCGCCCTCGCACAGAAAGAAGATGCGACACCGCTGGACGGAGCCCGCAAAGCCACCGAGATACGCCGCCATATTTCCGAATTCCAAGATTGCATCACTGATATTGAAAAGTGCGAGAAACGTAGGTTCTATTTTTTTTATTTTTATCCTTTTTGAAAAAATACCCCCTTCCCAATTTCAAATCGATGTTCATCCACTTGAATGAATGTGGTATAATAAAATAAAAATGAGGGCTATTTGAACTAACGGTATACCAAAAAAAGCCGTCATAGCAGTCCTCCACGGCATCTCCTTCGGCCTCGCCCTCGACCTCTCCCTCGCCTGCGACATCCGCATCTCCGCCGCCACGACCAAATTCTCCGTTAAAGAAGTCGACATTGGCATCGCCGCAGACATCGGTACTTTATCCCGCCTCCCGCATTCCGTCGGCAACCTCTCGTGGGTAAAAGACATTAGCTTGACCGCACGCATTTTCCCCTCAAGCGAGGCACTGCAGCACGGGCTGGTGTCGGCCGTGTACAAGGACAAGGCGGAAGCGGTGGCGGAAGCCATCAAGTTGGCGGCAGTGATTGCGAGCAAGAGTCCTGTTGCTACGTTGGGTACTAAGCATCTCATTAACTATTCGAGGGATAGGACAGTTGCCGAGGGTTTGAATTATACGGCTGTCTGGAACGCGGCTATGTTGCAGACGAAGGATGTCAAGGATGCGCTGTTCAGTGGCATGCAGAAGAGGACGCCCAAGTTTAGTAAGTTGTAGGTTGAACGAGCAAAAAGAGAGAACTGGAGAAAGAGATATTCGACTGGTGCAATATACTTGTGTGTAAAAGACACAATCAGAAAATGTGCATCTCAAGGGCAACTTGTCACATGGCATCATGTACCTTTTGATATTTGCTGTGCATATCATGACAACCCAATTCACTCATAGAGAATATGCATCACACACAGTACACACAGCGATACAAGAATGCTTTTACTGTCAAAAGAATTTCCCTAACATCGTGCCTTGAAAAGAAAACAGCCGTCCGAGCATCGCTCTGAGATGGGCTACAACTGAGTACCAATCTCAGGAGAGCAGTCATCGAGCGTCGCTCTAAGCCAGCGCTACAAAGACGCGACGACCATCACACGGTGATGATGTTCCATTGTTGGACTTTGAGATTTTTCATTGACTCTAAGCGCCTGGACGTGTTAATGCCGGAAGAGCCCCAAACCCATCCCGCATGAGCATCAATCATAACCCATGGCATGCTACAGAAGATGTGGAATCGTGATTTTCCCGTTACGCCCCATTGCACTACCCAACATGCACTACCTTATCCCCGAGCCATGACACCCCAGCAGCGGATACGGTTGTCAGTATATCCGGCAAACAGGGTCTGGCCGTCGGCGCTCCAGGCCAAGGAGACACACTCAGGCTCACGGCTCTTCTTGCCAACCTCCATGTACTCGGGCTTCAGCTCATCAACCTTGCTCTTCTTCTCGAGGTCGAAGATGATGATGCTGGAGGCGGTGGCAGCGCACAGCCAGTAGCGGTTGGGCGAGAAGACAAGGGCGTGGATCTCGTCACCGGCGGACAGAGAGTAGAGGTGCTTGGACTCGTTCAGGTCCCAGAGCATGGTTGTTCCGTCCTTACCACCGGAGGCGCACAGGGAGCCATCGGGCGAGATGGTGACGGTGTTGATATAACCGGTGTGACCGATGTGGTCAGTCTGGATGCGGCAGGAAGCGAGTTCCCAGACCTGTTTGATGTTAGCTTCTTGCGGTCGAATAGCTTGGTAGGGAATCGAGGAGAGAAGCATAAAATCAGTACTAGGTGATAATTGTCTCATAGCCGAAGCTCTGAAGTAGCAAATACATAGAAAATCATCATTAAAAGGAGGGTGGGGGTTGGGTGTAAAAGAGTATTGTTTACGTACCTTGACGAGCTTGTCCCAACCAGCCGAGACAATGACGGGGTTCTGAGGGTTGGGGGAGAAGCGAACGCATGAGACCCACTCGGTGTGGCCCTTGTCGGTGATGGTGTACTTGCAGTCACCGAGGGTGTTCCAGAGCTTGATGGTTCGGTCGCGCGATCCGGAAACGATCTGGCGGTTGTCGGCGGAGAAGGAGACAGAGAGGACGTCGTTGGTGTGGCCGACGAAGCGGCGGGTGGTGACACCAGTGGAGAGCTCCCAGAGGCGGAGGGTCTTGTCCCAGGACGAGGAGAGGGCGTAGGCGCCGTCAGAAGAGATGACCTGTGCAGCAATTGTCAGCTCAGCTTTTCTCGCTTCCTAGCTAGCCAATTGCCTTGTGTGTGCGGGTGAACATACGCAGTCGGACACGATGTGAGAGTGGCCGTGGAGACTCCTCTTGGGGTAACCGTACGAGGTCTCGTCGCGGGTCAGGTTCCAGATGATGAGCGTCTTGTCACGCGAACCGGACAGGAGCATGTTGGGGCTGGTCGCATGTCAGTAATTGCGCGTCTTGCAAGGTGCAGGATGTTTCTCGGAGGTACGCACTTCTCCAGAGAGGTAGCAAGGGAGGTAACCCAGCCAGAGTGGCCCTCGAGGGTACCACGGAGTACGAGTTGCTCGGCCATGATTGTGATGAGTGGCTTCTGCTGAGGATGGACGTGGGCGCACTCGGATGTTGATGGACAGTCCTGAAGTTGTTCAACGAGGAGCGCACAACGGGACGTCGAAATTGCGAAATAGACGAAGGCGCTAGGGCCGGATGCGGACTAGCGCAAAAGCTACAGCCTTGCACGCCCAAGGACTGTGAGTGGGTAAGCGAAGTCCTCCGTACTTTTCCCTCTGAACGCAGCATTGATGCCGAGTTCCTAGCTGAGATGAGTCTTTGTGTGAAGGCTGGTGATTGTGACATACCCTGAGTTGAATCAAAGCCGTTGCTGCCACGAAACCTCGATCAATCCCGGGTCAAAACTAGAGCAACTTGCGAAAGCTTTCGTGTTGAATTGACGGTGCGGCGACTTTTGGCAGCCCGTGTCGTTGACACTGGCTGTGTCTAATCCACTGAATTCAAGCCGTGTGCGATGATCCGTCACTGACCTCCTCTTTCTGTAGCTGATGATCAGCCCTGTATGCGACAAAGTCCACTAATTCCGAGACAACTAGTCTTATCTCCGTGCTCTTTGCCCCTAGAGAAGCCATGCACAACGCCAGGCGGAACCATAGTATGACACTTACTAATACATAGTCAAGATGTCTTCCACTAGCAGTTCCATGTATATAAGCGTGGGCGGAACCAATCTGTTTTGTTCTCAGTTAATCACAGTGCTTTCAGGCCTCAAGCTTCCAGCACATACCACAACATGCCATCGGAAACATCTACCACGACAGCTAAACTGCTACTCTTAGGCGCTGGGGAATTAGGAAATGCAATACTCACTCATCTTTCCGCACTGCCATCCATCCGCGTCACTCTCGGCATCCGCTCTCCATCCAAATACGCCCAACTGACCGTTTCCCAACCCTCTCTCACCCTGCTTCCAATCGACCTCTCTGGTCCTTCTGCAAACCTCTCGGAAACCTTTGCAAATTTTGATATTATTGTCAGCGCAACTGGGTTCGGTGCCGATCCAAGCACCGTTCTAAAACTTGCTCGAGAAATTCTGAGAGCCGGATCTATAAGAAAGGCAAGGGGTGAGGGGGATCTGTGGTATTTTCCATGGCAATGGGGTGTCGACTACGACATCACTGGTGATGGACAGGGGTTGATGCCCTTGTTTGGTGCGCAGCGTGATGTTCGCAACCTTTTGCGAGAGCAAGGCGAAGAGAGCAATGTCACGTGGACCGTTGTTTCTACTGGCATTTTCATGTCTTTTCTTTTTGAGCCATTCTGGGGCATCGTAGATAGGACGCACGAAAAGGAGGGCAAGCTGGTGGTGAGGTGCTTGAGAGATTGGGACCATAGGGTCACCATAACAGACGTGAACGGTATTGGAAGAGTGTTGGCGAGGATTGTCAACGAGGAGGTCGAGGCAAAACGGCGTGTGCTGTATATTGCTGGAGATACCTTGAGTTACGGACAACTGGCTGAGATGGTTGAAAGAGTTAGCGGGAGAGAGGTTGAGAGAGAAGAATGGACAATCTCACATCTAGAGAACGAGCTTACGGCCGACTCGGACAACGACATCAAGAAGTACAGGCTAGTCTTTGCGAGAGAGGGAGTTTGGTGGAGCAAAGAAGAGACAGTAAATCACAAGCTGGGTATGTGTATGATGGATGTCGAGACTTACGCGAGTAAGATATTTGGAAATAGAAATACTGGCCAGTGATATAGCTAATTGGACGAGTTTGACACCTGTTTTGAAGAATGCCTTTTGTATTTTTCACCAATACTGCTGAGTAAGTATGACCACGTCGACCGTGAGCTTGAAGGAATGCAGCGGGCTATGAGTGAGACGCACACATGCCTCAGCTCCCATAGCGCTTTGTCCCCACCGCAAGCCTGGCGTGTTTATAGCTGTGTCCGCTTGAATCTTGTCGGTAGCACGGTATTTGCGCCTGTAGCAGCTGAACGAGGCTCTGTTCCTCCCCAACCCCACGTAGACACATTGGATGTTTCATCTTCATTCTCTCTCTTTCTCTTTGGTCCTCCACTGTCAAATGTAAGCACATGTTGGTCATGGCTAAAGTCGGTTGAAACTCCTGTCGGTACATCGGACTGCTCCTAACGTCCCGGTGGCCCAGGAGGATATCTGCCAGGCGGTCCTCCGGGAGGTCCTCCAGGCGGCATGCCCATGCCACCTGGTGGTGGGAAAGGCATGCCTCCAGGTGGCGAGCCAGCATTACCCGGTGGCGGAAAGGGGAATGGCGGCATCCCTTGAGGAGGCGGGCCGCCTCCCATGTGTGGCGGTGGGAACGGGGGCATGTTTGGAGGTACACCGCCAGGGCCTGGAGGCATACCGTTGGGCGGAGGGAAAGGCGGCATTCCGTTGGGAGGCATGGGCGCTACCATAAAGTTAGTAACAGGGCTCTGGATGTTCGGTGTACGTTGACTTACGACCACCACGGCCCATGAACGGTGGGGGCATTCCAGCCATAGGTGGCATTCCTGGGGCATGTGAGCATCTTGATCCTCTACTTCGGGGCCGCGTAGAACGTACCTGGCGGTGGGAAGCCGGGCATGCCCATCGGAGGCATACCAGGCATTCCGCCCATTGGGCCCCCGGGAAATCCTCCGTTCAGATTTTGTTGGAACAGAGGATTTGCCTGGCCTTCTGTGTTGTATGCATCGGTGATACTGTTGATGACTTGCTGTGTCTGGTCGCTCGATATCTGTTCGTAGTATGCCTGAACGTTACGGAGGTGGTTGCGGCCGTTGTTGTGCGCCTTACGCACGCTCATACTATCGTGGGTGAGGTAGACATCGCAATAATCGCAGAAGAACTTGGGCATCGTGGATTCGCAATCGATTTGATCGTTATGTGTGGAGCGCCTGGATTCGCGGATTGAGTTGTCGAGTTGCGCGCCGGGTGGTGAGCGCGTCGCAAGAGCTGGACTGGAAGAATCTCAAGCTAGTCGGTACCACTTTCGCCGACCGTCTTGGCGCTGCCTCCACCTTGCTGTGTGGAAACAGTCGGCGACGCAGTCGACTGCCGTGAGGCTTGCCTATTGACAATACAACTCTACGATGCTCTTGCTGAGAGCGCTTCAGAGTAATTACCACGACTTCACTGACTGCCTCCATCTTCGTAGGTCGGCTCACGTGACTTGGCAGCACAAAACGGATGCGTACCTCTAGCGATGCGGCTCTCCATCAGGTAGACATGGCTTCTCTGGAGGGAAGCGTAGATATGTACACGCATGCGTGACATGGTTGAGTCTACGAGTGCTACTAAGCACGCCGTTCCTCAGCATAGTATCGTGACAGTATTGCAAGACACTTGACGGCCAAGGAAGAAAACAATTTTTTTAATATCTGTATGAACGTCTTCTCATTTCCTCCTTCTAGATCCCGGTGGTAACTACGTATGATTCACCCGATAAGCAGATCCATTTCAACAAGTGGATATTTGGGTGGTGGGTCATATCAAGTCACCCTAAGACTTTTGGCCAGCTTGAATGTAGGCTCCAATATTTCCTTTGCGGCAACTCTACCTTGGAGTATGTAGCTTTTGGGTGTATCCCTTGCATTCTTCTCACAATTCGTCATTTCTCACATTTCAGTGGCTCGGTCTTGAATAATTTAGATAAAGCTCATAGCGCATACATGACATATTTGCCAGAATGTATGAGACATTTTGTCTTTCCAAGCATCGTTGTTATCATCAAAACTTCATTCGGGCCTACATGGGCGTATATGGGTCGTCTTACATGCAGCCTAGCGTGGGCCGATATTTAAGATGGAGTAGCTGTGTTAGGAGATAGGGAAGCCATCAGCGTTGAGCAGTGCATATTATTTACCTCAGTATCATGCATGATTACAGTGGACATTTGTCTTTTGTTCTTAGAGGTAAATTTGTAGAGTAATAGTACCGTGGAAGTCGGCCCGTACAATCTTACTCAGACGCCCACGATCTTAGTGTATGAGTTTAGGTGCAACGGGATTGTTCTCTGTACTTGATATACTGTCTCTGGGTTAGCGGGTATTGCTAGTCCTCACTTGCTGTTGCAGTCCAGGTGGTACCTAACACGGGAAATAGCAACAGACCACTGCCAAGGAGTGCTTTACGAGTTGATCCACAACGAATAAGCACAATGAACCGTGGCTGTGATAGATTTTATGCCACTTTGAGAGGCATTTAAGGGAATTGACGCCCTGTTGGTTCCGTCCCACAAGCATCAGAGAAGCCGCCATTCATTCTGCGAAAAACAGAAAACTTTAATCTGGACCGACTCTGGAAATATTTTGAATCCAACAACCACTTTTCATCATGAAATACATCTTGGTCCTTGCAGCAATGCTGCCAGCCGTCTTTGCAAAGTGCCAACCAGGTGGAGCTGCGTTACTGGGCGATTGCGTTGGGTGGTGTTCGGACAGAAACTCGACCCCGAGCACGATCCAATCATGCCTCTTGGCGAATTGCAGCACTTGCAAATTGGGTGGTAAATAGGTACGGTGGTTACATGAAATATTGGCGATGACGTGTGCTAACTATTAATTCACGTGCAGAAGTTGGAGTGCCAGTGGCTGATTTCGATGAAGGGTACATTTGGAGGGGAGATGTGTGTGTGTGTGGGAACGGGAGGGTTGTTTGAACAAGAGAGATTAGGGAAGATGCTGAAGGGCTATACGGCAACTGATGGACCTGAGATTGTGGAGGCTGGGAGTGGGAATGTTAATGCATTCAGATGTATACATACATACCCCAAGGACAGCATCAGACATTGGGTAAAGACCAGAAGAGCCTCAGCATATATAGCAGTGCGAGTCTCCGACTTGTTCAAGCAAATCGAGTCATCGTATTGGCATCGACGAGTATTTGAATGATAACGCCATGGTGACATGAATCAAGACATGATGTTTTTTTTCCTTTCTTATAAAACCGGCGTGGTGGCGTGAGCATGACGGCATGAGGGGTGCATTGCAAGTCACAAGTGGAGGATTTTTGGCATCGTATCACAGGTGTTGTACAGTTTGTTGGCGAGGAGCGGTCATGATGGTCGCTTGGCCGGGGCAGGAGTCCAGCCTTGTGGTTGCCAGTCGTGGCTCTGTGCAGCTTGTTGTTTCCACGGCGAGTCGGCTGGCTCTTTGACTTTTGACTTTTTCGATCTTGGTGCCGGTGTGTGTCGTATGTCTTGTTTGTCATTTAGGGGAGAGGGGGCGGTGGCCGGATGCTGTGACTGCAACGGCAGCACGGGCTGTTGTTTATCCGGGGCATCGAGGGCCGAGGGTTTGGCAGCCCATTTGGCATCGGCTTGGGCAGCCAGAAGTTTGATGCGCTCCTGTCGCGCCACGTCTTGCTGCTGTTCGGCAATGGTTGGCGGGTCGAAGCGCGTATGTCGTAGCCATTGCATCCATGAGGCTGATGAGGCGGTCAGTCAGCCAGTCAGTCCGGGCAGGATGGGCAGAGGCAGGTGAAGGGCAACCAACGCGATATTTGCACGTCGCCATAGTGGGTGCTGCGGCTGTACTTTGCAATTCTCCTGTTGCGCAGCGAGTGCAGGGCGTCCTTGAACTCCCAAAACGTGTTTCCCTGGAGATCAAAACCTGTATTGATGGCGTGTCAAGGCAAAGCAAAGGAAGAAGCAGGGATAGGCTTGGGCGAGGCACACTCACCAACCAGCCACTTTTTGCGCCATGGAAACCGCTGCATCTTCCACTGGTACCATGCGCGCCTGACGGGGCCTGGGGCGCCGGCCATTGCGGTGATTTGTGTAGTTAGTTGACTGACTACGAGGGGGGGGATTGGTTGGTGGTGGATTGAAGGTATATGTCCATGTGTGACATGCACAACATAAAATGCAATGCCAAAAACCCAAACCCAAACCGGTGACGTTGACACGGGTGGCGGGTGGCTGGTGCTCTGTTCCCCACCCATACCACCAACAACACACACCTCTTCTCCACCCATGCACTTGGACTGCACGCACTTATGCCACCGCCCCAGTGCTGACTGCCTGGCGGACTGATATATGCAACCTCCCTCCTCATGCCAATTCTCTCCTTTCTTCCCGTCTCCTATCCCCCCCTAAACACCATACACACGGCACACCAGCTGTCGCCTAGATAGATAGCTACATAGTGCATCGATTCCATCCTGCCTGACGACCTACTTCTTCCCCCCTCCCCCCTCCCCCCTTCCACCGCCCGCTGTCTTGCGTGCCCAACCACCAAACCCTCCTACTCCTACTCCTACTCCTACTCCTACACCCACCCCTTGATTTGCGCCCGACTCGCCCACCATGGCGTCGGTAACGTCGCTGGACCAGGACATGCGCAAGCTGCGCATGGACAGGTACACTCCCAAAGCAGCAAACGAAGTGCGCATATGGATTGAAGACACACTGGGCGAGCAACTGCCGCCCGGCGATCTGCTCGATGCCCTCAAGGACGGGACCGTCTTATGCAGGTGAGCCGGCCTTAGAGGAAAGTAACCATGCCGCCGGACCCGGATAACTGACTGCAGCAGACTCGTCAACTTGGCCACACCCGGCGCCGTCAGGTTCAAGAAGAGCCAGATGCCTTTTATCCAGATGGAGAACATCTCCCACTTCCTCCGCGCATGCGAACAGCCCCCACTAAGCATGCCCGCCCACGACCGCTTCCTCACCGTCGATCTCTACGAAGCAAAAGACCCGGCCCAGGTCTTGCAATGCCTCAGCGCCTTTAGCCGCGTAGCTAACGCCCATAACCCCTCCCAGTTTCCCACCGTCATAGGCCCCAAGCGCGCCGCCCCGGGCGCTCTTAGCCCGTCTTCCACCGGAGGCGCTGGTCCCAAAAGCCCCGCCCTGACATCGCCTGGCTATGGCCGAAGCAGAGGACCAAGCACAGCCAGCAACACCAGCGGCTCCAGCACTTTCAACCCCCTCGCCCGTCCCACCACCGAAAGGGCCCTCAGTGCCGCCCGTACCGGAGGCTCTGATACCTCGCATGGCTCGAATGGTCTCCCCAAATCTCCGCCTGGCGGAGTGAGCAGCTGGAGCAAAAAGGTTGACGAAGGCAGCACAGCACCCGCATGGAATATCCACCAGTACGGCTACATGGGCGGAGCCAGCCAAGGAAACCAGGGCATTGCATTTGGTGCTCGCCGCCAAATCACCAGCGCCGGCCCACATGTGCCCAACATGGCAGAGAAGGAGCGCGTGCGACGAGAAAAGGCCGCTGAAGAAGAGCGGCTGCGCCTGCAGGCCGAGGAGGCCGAGACCAAGCGTCGCATCGAACGTGAAGCGGAGGAAGAGCGCATCCGCATCGAAGAGGAGCAAAAGTGGGAGGAAGAATCGCGCAAGCAGCAAGAGGCCAAGCAGGCTCGCCTCGACCAACAAAAGCGTGAGTGGGAGGAGCAGGAGCGGCAATGGCAGCTTGAGGAGGAGCAGCGCCAACGCGAGGAGCGTGAGGCTATTGAAAAAATCGAAGCCGAGACTCGACGGAAACGTGCCGGCAGCGATGCTAGACTCCGGGGACAGTTTCTCAGCCAGTACCAGGCCGAACAAGCCAGCAAACCGCGCAGTCGTCGGGGAAGCAGCGAGGAGCCGAATGCCGAACGCGAGCGCATACGGGAACTTGAGCGCCAGCTTGAGGAAGCCAAAGAGCGGGAACGACAGTATCAAGCTGAGCGTGAGGGTCGTCTGCAGGACAAGAAAGCGCGCGCTCGTTCAAAGAGTCGGGCACGCGACCGATCCCGGAGTCGCCCCAGGCCACAGCCTCCGCCACGCGCCCCCTCACCCCAGGACAGCAATGCTTCCTGGGCACATGCAGATGACCGCGAGTACCTGCGCAAGCAATGGGACCAAACACAGACCCAGTCACCACGACCCTTACCAGAGCCTACTCCTACTGCCCCTCCTCTTTCAACTCGCCCACTGCCAGAACCGTCCGCTCGACCCCTTCCCGACCCTTCAGCATATACCAAACAGAACCGAACTGAACGCTACCTAGCCTCTAACCCCCCACCAGCATCTCCGAAGCCCCAGACCCACATTCCACAAGAGCTCACTTCTACCTCGGAGCAACGAGCCGAAGACGCCCGCCGAGCCGCTGCTCAAACAAAAACAAAGGCTCTCGGATGGGCTTCCAAGTCTCTCCTCGAGCGCGAGATGGAGCGTGAGCGCGAACGCCAAAAAGAATGGGAAGAGTCGCAGCGCGCACTACAAGAAGCTTCCAAAGACCCCAACGCGGGAAGCGGTTCCGGTCAGAGTTGGGACGTCAATCAATACGGATACATGGGCGGCGATAATCAGAATAAGCTTGGTGGCATTGGCGCGGGAAAGAGACAGATTATTGGACCTAGGCCATTTGGGCCTCGTTAGGGAATTGAGTAACGGTAGATAGAAAATAATATTCAGAGTCCAAGGGCAGATTACTCGATTGTGTATTATGGCTATGACAAGAGACTCGAGGCAGCGTGAATCGCTCATGTGGATAAAGAGCAAAGTGAAGGTGAAGGTGATTCATCCAAGTTTGTGCGCGCAAACTTTGAACAACAAACACATGTCTCGCCTTATCTCGGGATTGTCTAACTCCACGAACAATAGTTGTTGGTGACTATATCATGTCGGATAACAGCGAGCCACCTCACACAGCTGGAGAAACCAACAAGCAGACGACGACTACTATGCTCTCCTCCAACATGACCGAACATCTTTCACAACCCACCCGGCAGCGAAGATCACGTGCGATTACTCCTCGGTCAATTCCTGGAACGACGCAATCGCTTGCGCAATTCGAAGCTAGACTCTCCGTTATCACATCGGCCAGTGCTGCAAAAGATCTCATCAACACAATGCGCGTCATCGTGCAACAAGGAAACCGCCGAAGACACTTGGTCGAGCCACGCCGGCAAAAGATCCGAGACTTGGTTATTGGGATGGAAAATGCAGAGATACAGAAGCTATATGAGGAATTTACAAGAGCACACAACGAAAGAGAGAACAGATCGACATTCAGACTACCGCTCTTGGATCGTGCACACGAGGACGGAGACGATGCGGTGAACCAAGACACTGCCGATACCAGGGAAAGGCCTGAAATGGAAGCAGCCCACAGCCTATCCCACGAGATAAGAAACACCGGTTTGGAAGATGGCGAGATGGTGGAAGTAGCGGAGGATACTTTGAACACTATCGCACAAGCGTTGAGTTCTCCTGACACCATTACATCTCGCTTTGCCATAAAAGGAACTTCGCCGCTCCCGGCGCCTTCGCCACTGTTGGATTCATCGTCCGCTCCCGAGCTAGCCTATACAATGTACGACCAAGAAGATCATGGTGCTTGCACAGTGGTCCCAATTCAGAACCCTAGAAACTTCCCTTTGAGACGTGTACAGAAGGTCCAAGCCGACTATTACCCCTCAATACTCATGGTTGCCATGTGGGTACACCGCAACCAGTTCAATGAAATCACTCAGGTAACTGGCGACCTCGACAAGGGGCCGGTCAACCATCTCATCATCCACGATCCACGCATTATCAAATCTCTCGGTCTCGATGAGCCACCGTTCGACGTCATAAACCTACAACCCTCAAGTCGTGTGCATGAGACATACAATATACGTATCCTACCAGGCCAAAACCTTGAAGACCTTGATTCCTGGGTTGTTGGAGAGCTCGTATCCGCTCGGCACGCGTACTTGTATTGGCTTGATGGCAGACGGTGTTCGGATCCAAAGGGGCCGCCTACTGCTGCTGAAGCAAGGGCTATAGCTACAGAGACGGGCAGAAGGGCATTGGACGTCAAGATGGAATTTGATGCGTATTGGAAAATGGAATGTGGGACTGGCGGTAAGAAAGTCAGAGAGAAGCGAGCAGTGTATCTGGGTGAGGATCCGGAATATCCTGAGGGTGCCGAGGTGAGACATTTTGGAAATCAGTGGTGGTAGGAAGTCATGGTATCGTTGAAAAAAGGGTCTGTCTGCACAATGTCTCACTGGCGTCTCATTCCAAAGCATTGGGCACATGAGTCTACTTCATGGATAATTCAAATCGATGGGAATCGACTAAATCAAACTAGATTACATTGCTAATGTACATGGCAAGAAACAAAATCGTAGCAATACCATAGCAGTAAAACAAACTCGATGACCAAACATCCCTACTAGGACTCTGCCGCATCCTCCGCTTAACTCGACTGGGATTCCGATGCCTGAGCTGGAATGCCAGTACGTCCCTGAATATACATAAGACGAAACATATCGCCTTCGTAGTCGGACCCGTCGCTCTCATATCCTACTCTATGACCAACACCCGCATCCACATCATCAGCAGCAGCAACACCAACAACCTCCTCATCCCCCTTCCTCTCCACCAAAGGAATCACCGGCGCCGCCATAGCATGATACTCATATACTAACTTCCTCTCCCCTTCCTCCAACAAACACTCATCATATCCCTTACCTCCCTTCCTACCAGCCACCCTAACATCATCCACACTCATCGGTTCATACGGTACCCTGACCCCAACCTTCGGCCACCCCTCACCCATAACCCCATACTGATCCACCACCCGCTCCTCATACACCGCTCTACTCCCCTCTGGAAGCACAAATTCCTCTTCTGGGACTTCAATATCTAACATCGGATGCAAAACCGGACTTCGCGGGCGCACTGGCGGTTCGGATTCGACGATCCAACACGCGTCGGGCGCATGGCTCCACCACGCACGACACCGCTCGGGATTGTGGCCGCAGCGCCGTTGCGCGGCGAGCGCGGTGGGACTGATCTCCGCGTCTGGGAAGCTGGCGGGGATGCTGTCAGGGGCTGGGCGCGCGATGGGCGTGTGAGGTGGTGAGTCGACGGGCGACGATGGTGAGAGAAGCATCGAGACGTGGTATTCGCGGCGGCCGGGAGTTTCTTCGCACCAGGTGGTTGAGGGGAGGGGGGTGGAGAGGGTGAGAGGTCTGTTGCTAGGGGCGTGTTTGGAGCGCTTGGATTTTGGGGGGTCGAGGAATTCGTTGGCTGGGTAAGGGTAGTCGAGGGTTACTTCTATTTCGCGCTTTTTGGATCCTGTGGGTTTAGAGGCTTTGTTTTTGGTGTTTGGCGCTTTATCTTCTGGGACGTTGAATGCTTCTTCTTGTGCTTCGCTGAGTTTCTCGGCGAAATCCTCGCCATCAGTGTCGAGGTCATCTTCTACTGGGGGCCCTTCTTCGATCGTCTCGCGTTCGTCGCTGACGGTGAAGTTTGAGTAGATGCCACTTTTCACCGGTCCAAGTAGATCGTATGACGTGCGCCAGTCATACGAAGACTCCAATGCAGAAATGAAGACACCGTCCAGTATTTGAATCTCCCTAAATCTATCCTGGAATTTCACATCATCCAGCCTTTTTTCAAGGTGCAAGCTTGCAGTCGTAGGCCTCAAGTTCCCATGCTCACTCCTGTAGAGCGCTTGCTCCTGTTGCCTTCTTTCTATGTGCGTTCGATAAGGAAAGCCTTCCTGACCTTTCTCAGGAATTTCCACCTCTTCGATACGCTGCCACTCCTGACGAATATTGTCGATGTCCAGCACAAGCTCGGTAGGTTCGACTGACATATTGTTCGTCGCGGCGAAACCGACCGGCCTTCGTCGACACGCTGGAGTCCATAGATGCAACTCATTGAACCGGATTGGCCTGGGCCCTTGACCTGATTCTATTCCCTCGATTTCATTCCCTTGCCAATCGGAAAATCCATTGCGATGACGCGGCCCGCCTATGTTGGCTTTGTCAAATGCATCTAGTAGGTCTTGGCAACCCGACGGTTTCACCTGCTCACTGATGCTATTCACATCGTCAAGGAGCCAACCACGTCCCTCTTTCATTTTGATTTTGGAGTATCTGTTTTTTCGATGCATATGGTTTTGGAAGTAGAGAAAGTCTTCCAAGAGTGCTTGAGCGTCCCTGAGACCATCGTGCTGAATACGGCGGTTTTTGCGCGTGACTTTCTTGTTTCCAGCTTTCTTCGTGCTACATGTTTTCAACAACTCGTTCTTCTGTCGCATTAATCCTGGAATTAGAGCGCGGTCCTCTTCTTGATCCTTCATGCGTATAGTCAGATCGTTCTTTAATGATTCAAGAGTAATGCGTTTTCCGCGACTTTCTACTTGTAGAAAGCCTTCCCCTCTTTTTATCTCCTGCGCCTCTTCGGGATCTTTAGCTATTCTCCTTGACCGTCTTGGTTGCGACATGGTCTGAATGCGAATGCCTTTGCTGAGTTGATTGACAAACGTGGTGGTGTTTTGGACAGATGATAAAACAGAAATGGACCAAACTATCGATTGTGTGTACTTATGGGAATTAACACCGAAAAGCAAGGCCGAAATATTTGCGCGTCCACTACATTGCTTAGATGGGTAGCAGGTATATGTATCACAAACACAAAATGATTTGTTCGACAACCGGAAAAACAAAGAACGCCTATAATGAGAAAGCATAGACCTACAGCCCGCAGAACAAAGCCGTCGTACGGTCGCCGGATTAGTACTACTTATATCGCACAACCCCCACTAATCACAGAAAACAAACCCCTCGAAATAACCTAGTATGCCTAGCGAGATGGCCAGATCCATACAACATCCATACCATGTCCAGCACGCACAGCCTATTCTTTTCTACGCAACTGTTTCTTCCAATCCCACTCCTTCTTGGGCTCCTCTTCCTGTGCCTCCTTGCGGGTCTTCTCTTGTTGTGCGCGAAAGCGTTGCTCTTGTTCGTACCACGTAAGTCGACTATTTGGGATGCTCTCGTTGAGAGGGTCCCAATCCAAGCTAGTATACCTATCGATTTTGCGAACTCCGAGGTGCAATCCAAGGGGCTTAGCCTTGACCTCGGATGTATCCTTGCCCTTGCCCTTGGATGTACCAGTGGTCTTGGGTGCACCCTGGTTTTTCGATGGTGCTTTGCTTATTTCCTCGGCCTCAAAATCTTCGTCTCTCTCCTCAATGTCTTCGTCGTCATGCACATCGTCTCCATTGTCATCGCCAGAGTCGGAGTCGTCGCTTTCAGAGCTGTCGTCATCGTCTCCTGGATTTGCACCTGGCGTCACAAAGGGCGGATCGACGGCTGGAGCCGAAGGGTTTTGAGATTCTGCATCTTGCGGATTTCCAACGTCCATGTTAGTTTTCTTTTGTCTCGGCTTAAGAGTTGATGCTTGACGGGACCTTGGCTTGGTTGGAGCTGGCTTGGTTGGAGCTGGCTTGGTTGGAGCTGGCTTGGTTGCAGCCGGCTTCTCTGTCTGCTTGGACTTCTTTTGTACTCCATCTGATCTGGAACCTGTCTTAGACACTCCTTTCGTGCCTGAGACATGTCTAGGCACGCGTTTGTCATTGGATTTCCCACTGTCTGAGGGTGATATATGGTCGTCATCCCCAGACGAAATCTTTACCCGCTTGTTGTTTCCTGTCGTTGTGCCATTTTCCCGTTTTCGTTTAGGAACTGGAACTTGGAGTTTTTTTTCTTTGATCAACCGATCTACCAGAGCATGCTGCGCTTCAATCTCGGCGGGAGTCGTTTTGTGGTCCTTTGGAATATTGCGGGCCCTTATCGGGTTTATCCGATCGTATTCCAGAAATATGGTCACCAATTGCCTCTGGTTCCATCTGTTAACGTTTCTGAATCCAATTCTCATTGCCATTGGCCTCAATTTTCCGTTCATGTTCATTGCCTCGTAATGCTTTCTCTCTTGTTCTTCGTCTCCTTGTTCGGGTGCCATGATGATGGAGTGTTTCGATATCGATTTGGGTGAACACTTGTTTATGTGCGCTTCTGGATATTCAAGAATTGGGTAAGACGATTATGAATTGCAGATCAGCTGCTGTGATCTGCTTTGCAGTTTACTTGAATCTACAGTCCAGTCATAATATAGTACAGAAAAAGCGGACTTTATGTAGTAAATGCTTCAATTCATCGCTGAGATTTCAGAGTGAAAGGTGTTGATAATAAACAATACGCCTTTTAGGCAGAGGCACTCATACCAAAAAGCCATGTGAGTGAAAGACAACGATATATATACACAATGGCTTAGTTGAATCCGATAGGCCAAAAATACGCCATTATGGCCAACAGAACGATGCCTTTCAATTGAAATGCATGGGATAGATATTTTCAGAAGACTGAATCTGACTGCCTTTCCATTAGCGAGAACACATGCCAAAAAAGATCATTGACACACTCAACATTCAGACAGCAAGTCAAACGCGTTGTTGAGGGTTTCTGATGTTACATAAGCACATTGCTTACTACGTACTGCTACGACGTGGGAACAATAGGGGTAAAGTGTAAAGAAAGTCAATGCATCATATTCACAGTGAACGTGCAACTTGGCCTCCACAGTTTACACTAGGATGAGCTAAAAATCTGTCCTTGCGCAGCCATCTGAACATGAGCGTGAATTCTACTTGCTGACCACCAATCATCACTCAGTTCACCTGTTCGGTGAGGATGAAGTGGCCTCTTTTGGCAATACGCCGCAGATGTATTCACTTTACCGGTGGCTTCGTCGATAACACATGGTTATAAATGAAAAGACCTTGCGCCTGTCTGCATATATTGAATAGTTTACTCAACAGTAGCAGCTACAACTGCGCATGTTTCAGTATGGCGTCGCTCATCCAAGCCTACTTCGAATCGGATAACAACATCGACGAAAGCGAGCCTTTTGACGATAGACATAGATCGAAGATCTTTCGGCCAACAGCCGATGTTATCCACATCTCAGGTTGGAATCCAATTAATAGGATCTCTGAGACATCGGTTGGGGATTGGGCCTATAGGGAGCCCGATCCGGAGTACGGTCTTCACAATGCCCTTGATGAGGAACCAGTCCATCCAAGTCTCGAAGAAAAGTACCTTGACCACTACGGCTGTTTGAATTACATCAATAGCATGCACAAGGTATCTGTCTTCTAAAAAACCAAAAAGCAAAGATCTAGCTAACATGGACAAAGGAAAAGCTAGCTGATGAAGAGAGAGCGGAGCAATCCAACAATGTTTGGGGTCAAGATCCAGTCGCCCGGAAACACGGCACACCCATCAAAAGGCCATGGGATGTCGAAGAGGACGCGTGGTTGGACCTCTTCCACGAAAAGATCCGTGGTGCAATCGAAGCTGGGGCGGTGATCAAAATCCCAGGACGCGGACCCGTCTTGGAAGCATTCAACGCATTCTTCAAGCGCAAGCGTTTGGAAGAAGGAGATGAGCCTGCTGCTGCTGCCGCTGCCGGAGAGAGTGAGTGGACACCGCGTACCATAGGGTCAATGCATCGGAAGTTGCGCTTTGGGGGGAGTAAAGTGGGCGAGGAAAGGAAGAGGCTTTCGGCTCTGTTGGCGAATAGGAAGAACGCAAGGACATATGTGCCCAAGTTGAGTGTGGAGGAGGTGTTGGAGTATCAGAGGCATGGGACTGTTGTTGTGGATGATATGCGTGCGAAAGGCTTCCAGTATTGCATGGTGGAAACACTACGCGAAGCCAGCAGGGAGATTCGCAAGCGGAAGTTTGGGAAGTGATAAAGATGATGGGACTGAGAAGGACTGTGAGATGAGTTTCTAGGAGCTGGGGTTGGTGTTGGAACAAGGAAGACCATGAGAAGGCGATTGGGAAAAGAATATAATACTTTCAGATGGCGGGGGGTATCTTGTAGATGATGGATTGTTGAAAAATATGATAGTCTAAAAGATAACGATACACGTGTAGAAAAGCAAAAATAAGCAGTGTGAAGCGACAATGTGATGATAGATATAACGCTCTCTATGTCGTCGCCTACTATACTGTTGGTCATAAGCACTTGAGTGATGCGTAAGGTAAGGACTCTAAGGCATACCTGTCATTCGTACTTCTGCTCTAGTGTTGAGGCTGCAATTCAAGATGTGTAGGGCTTTACTGGAGAGTGGCGGAGACAAGATCCCGCAACTGAGCTTCACGCATGACGACGCATGCATCTACCGTGTGTTGTAGTGACCTTGGAGAGCAATTCATCTATCTCAGTCACTCACTCTCTAGTGTCTCTGTTACTACGCACTTTCTAGACCTAACCCGTCCTCTCCTCCCACATCTTCAAGAACAGCTTCCACAATATAGAGAATAGTATGCCTTGCAATCCGTTGGCAATAATCCTCGTCTTGAGCCCTCTCCCAAAAAGCCCAAGTCGACCATCCTGCCTAATCACCTTCCTCGCCGCTTCTGTATAAGAAATCCTGGTGTCGTTGACTTGACGGTACGTCTTGACCACTCTCAAAGAATTGGAAATGGTGTCCGACGTGACTGATGCACAGAAGCCAATAAAGGCCGCGCGCAACAACCACCACCCAACCTGCTGCTTGGAGGGCTCGGCAATGGTCTCGGAAAGCAGGTTATACACTGCGAACCAAGGGTAGTGGCCGACAAAGGTAGCGGCTGCGGTGGCGAAGGCACCCCACCAGAGACTTCCGATGCCGTCTGTCTTGATACGGTTACGGAGAATACGCCAGCCGCTGGGGCCCTGGGCCTGTAAGGTGGTTTTGAGCGTGTCTATGGGAGTCAAGAGCATTCTGAAGGCGGCGGCGCAGGCAGAGGCGAAGATTGTCTGGATAGGGGATGGTAGTTGCTTGAGGAAACCATTGGATCGCAGCAAGGCGAGAATACCGGCGTTCGCAGCCGTGTCGCCAAAGCGCGCAATGGGGCCCTGGAAGAGCGCTGCGCCCATGCCTTGGTAGTACCGGCCGATACCGCCGTCGTGATAGAGCGTCTTGGTGGCTGTGGTGGTCGAAGTCCCGTGGCGGTATTGGTAGTTCATGATGGTGCGGATGGGCATGAGAAGCAGTACCTGCAGAACCATGGCTGCTGCGCCGCTGAGCCCGCCGCCCAAGGCGCGCTTCAGTGCGCCTTTGAGGTCAAACTGTGATACGTGTGGTGAGCTTTATTTTGGGGAGTGTGGACATGGGTTGGCTACTACTACTACTTCTGGGGGTTACGTACATCGACGTCGTCTGCATCTATCCATGCCTTGACAAACACAACGATGATGAGCGTTGCAGCCAGGAGTAGGAGCCCTCTCCATACGTACTGCCATGTACGCGATACCTCTTCGTCGGGGACTTGGGGTTCATCGTCCCCCTGTCGAGGTACAGACGTGTAATCAGGCGCGTCAGCATGCGCAAGCAAAGGCGCCCGCTCATCTGCTGGGCCAACGCCTTCCACGTTGGGCTGGGAAGACATTGTATCTGTGACGAAAAATGAGGTCTAAGGCTGTTCATGTCCAGGTAACACAAATGTACACAATAAGCATGTATCTGATTGTCCGTCATTGTCAGCTCGGTCACCGTCGAGTCAGATTACCAATCAGATGGGCCAATGACGCGTGCACGGCTGTCTTGCGTTACTTGGGTGGAGACTGGCGTGACGGCCTTATACTAATCATCTCGTCGCATTTCTACCACTCCCGTACGTCCACCACCCGAGGATCCACGCTAAGTACAAAGTCGCCTTTCGCCTTTGCCTTCTCTGTCCAGGCTCTCGCTGCTCGCCTCTACAACTCCCGATGTGGGGGACCGGGAAGATCCGGCCGTGGTGGCCCAAGGTTAGGAAGGCCCTGCGCCATCTTCCAAGTAGACCAATACGTCTGATCAAACCGATCATCCTTCAGATCCATGTGCGCCGACCCCCAGTTATTCGCCAGCATCTTTTCCTTCAGCGCCCCGTTCATCCTCTCCAAACTGACCAAGGCCGAACGCACCCACTTGCCCGTCGCATTCTCCGGCGGCTCCGACTCGGTCGCCTTGCGGAAACAATGCGTAGTGCCCCTATCGCGCTCAACGACGAACTTGGCACGGCCACCCTCCCATCTCACCGCGTGTGCCCATTCGATTGAGTAGGACCCGTGATGCGACCACCCGAGGTATTTGGCGTCGCCCTTCAGAGTCCACACAAACAGGTGTTCCCAGTCATGCTTGTGCCCACTGGCTAGGCTACCGCCCTCATCCTTCTCAGAGTAGTAGCCGTACAGGTAGAAGCACCAACCGTCGTTAGTGCACTTTTCGCGTACGTAAACGTTGCTGTTGGATAGCCGGTCCAGTGTGCGGCAGTCGCCCTGCCCGAGTTCTAAGCCGGCGTTCAACTGGCCGTTGCGTGTAATGGCCATGGTGTTGTAGCAGGCTGACTGGTCAAAGTCGATGACGGGTTGGTATTTGAGCGCGCCCGGCGTTGCGTTCTCATCCAGTCGCGGTGGAGGCGACGGCGGAGCCGGTCCTGGTGCTGGTGCTGGTGCTGGTGCAGGCGTGGGAGGTTTTGGGCCTGCCGGCGCGTGGTTGCAAATGTACGCCATGCTGCACTTTTTGCCGTCGGCCAGCGTGAAGAGCCCATCCAAGTGTCGACTGAAGCACGTCAGGGTATTGGCATCGTATGTATGCCAAGCGTACCCCGCGACATTTGGATCTCCGACATTGTTGTCGATTACCACTGTCCATTTATCTCCGTTGGGTAGTGTCTGCGACACGCCGCTAGGTCGCCAAGGGTACGAGCCGTCCCATGGCACGTTTGCCATATACGTTGGAGGGCCCCAGGCTATGTTGGAGTAGTACATCATCTCGCGTGATGTGGAGCCTCCATTAACTCCTAGGCCAATACCGCAGTCGGCGAGGACGAGATTCTCGCTCCATGTCGTGGTAGCAGAGACTAGACTTGCTGCCAGGCCAAGCAAGACCAGGGGAATTGCGGCCATTGCGGATATACTCGGACTACCTCGACGATAGAGGCGGCAAAGAAAGGTTCAGGCTTGGTCTTGATCAATAATCGTGTGGAGAGGATGCGACTGATTATAGCGACGAGCGCTGATCTTCCGAGGACGCAGCTTGTGATGTTGATGAGAGAAACTTAGGTATCGTGCGAACATGTATCCTTTATGCTGTTTCTAATCCCTGCGAAACAACCTCAGAAGGAGGTACAAAAAACGTACATAGAATACTCTGCGTTGACTCCGCCCATGTCGTGTTCATCAAGCCAGTCATCCTGAAGGACCTCAGCTGTAGCTACATCTTTCATATTCCCGCCGAGCTGAGCGTGCTTGCTACATGGTATTGGATGTGCACAGCACAAAAGACGGTGTACATGACGACGCCTGAAGTGTTGCCCCCTTCTACCGACATTCGGGTTCTAACACAGCTGAAGGCATGAGGCTGAATGTAAACAACGTGTTTAGGTGCTAGTACTAGTACTATATTTTTTGGGGCATTGAAAATGCAGCTGAGGGCCGTCGATATTCAGCTGCCAAGTCTGCTGTTGTTGGAACTACCGAGGCCCGCTCTAGTCGGAGGCTTATTACCTTGGACGTGTATGCGATAAGAACATAGTATAGCGCTGCATTCAATCTCAAAGAAAGGAAGGATTGGTCGAAGGCACGCTAATGGTCAAGCTGTGGCTATAGAATGTCCATGCTTTGTCTTTGTGCGAATCTCAGCCTCGCCTACATTCTAGGGTTGATGATCCCAAACAGGAACGTCAGTGAGACTCCGCATTGAGAACTAGCATGAATGCTAGCATGAAAACACTCATGCTTCTATACTTTTTCAGATCGCAGCATGCTCTATGCAATAATTGCTCATTATAACTTGCCGGGCATCTCCAAGGAGTTGAGTCAGCAATAATTCGTGCCCGCTTTACACGAGAGTATCCCCACCCTACACAATATAGGCCGCTGAACTCTTGATGGTAACATGGCTCCGGCAGCCTCCGGAAAGGTACATTCTAGTAAACATATTACCCTGTAGAGTATCATCGAATACTTGTGACGTAATAATCTGGCCCTCCGTCATTACTGCAGTTGCTGGGGAACTTGCCAAGTATTGGCATTGTCAAATCTACTCTTCAAACTTTGAGCATGATTATGCACAAAGCTAACTTTGTATTGACCAGATTGCGAACTCAACAGGCCGTTGGCGGCGTTTCCCATGAAGCATGATATGGACACAGCATCGAATTACAGTCAGTGTATCGAAAAGCCAGACATGAACCACGCGAATACCAAAGTCGAAAGGGATAGCGTCAATCTTGACGCCACATCATCCACCTACTATGACTCTGAGCCATCAGCACAGCCACCAAGATACCCTGACGGCCAAGAGTCTGTTCGGTTCCATCTCATCTCGCCGTCTGCTAACTAGGTTGAGAACTCCCTCTCAAAAACTAAGATGGATGTAGCGTCGTGTTTGGTAATACGCTGTTTTAACGTTACTAGCTAGAGCTCTGTTTTATTAGCATAGCGCTAATAAAGATTAACCTTATCTACTAGTGCTTACCTACCCTATACTAACTCCTCTTTCAGCGAAATAGAGTTCTGTCTTCTAGCTAGAGCTCTTAATCTCTATTTTATTTTGAAAACTCTATTTCATACCTATTTTAGTAGCCTAGCTTACTACGTGATCCACGTAATCTCACACGTGATTGAATACAAGATAAGATAGAGCCAACTAAATAAACAGCTCCTCCGTTTTCAACCTTAATTAGGATAGGCAGCTGACCACCACCCCCCTGTTGAAGCACTGACTCAAACCAGCGATCGAGCTGAGACGGAGAACGGAGCAACCGAACAGACCCCAATCCACCTCGACTGCGCCACGAAGTAAAGCTATTGGTCAACGCAGCGCCGGTGCACCCGCGGCAGTACTCGGTTCTGGTCATGTCCATCTGGATGCTTAGTGACGGGCAGACCGCAAGGAGAAAACCATTCGCGAGCGGTGGAATGATTTCAAAGAAAGAAATTTTGGCGCCTACGATGTATCAGAGGACAGAGCTGGGGCGGCGAGTGCAGCTGAGTGGGATATGCAGGGCGGGAGAGTAGTCGGAGGATTAGCGAAGCCGTATTGGAGAAAAAAGTGAAGGTGACCGTGGAAAATATCGAGGCCAACTTCCAGCGGGCTCTTTCGAAACTGGAAAAACAACTACTGCAGTATGGGAAAGCGCTCGTTTCAGTAGGCAGTAGCAGGAAAACACAAATCTTGAATGATAGAAACGACGCAACAGCTACGTATGCCTAGTCAAACTACGCTAAGTATTGCGCTATTTCAGAGCACCCTTTTGGATAGCAGGGTGCATATCTATCGCCATGGCTGAGTGTCGCTTAGTGCTCTTCCATGGACTCAGATGGACATGCAGTGCTGTATTCCTAGTCTGGCAACGGTATCGCACCAGGCCTCAGACAGGGTAAATGCCGCTCCATGCGCATCCAGAATGCTAGCCGCATCGCTATGGAGCAGCTACAGCCATCTTCAGCCCATTGTAGCACTGCGACCTGTACAGGCTAACTGAGACCCGATATGCGTCGATGCGGCCAGGCCTATGGTGATGCAGGACGGAATAGATACCTCTGAACATGACGCATCTACGGCCTTACCAACGCCCTAGCGACCCATCCGGAGGGAAAGATATGATAGCCTTAAGTCTAGGACACATAATGTGCAGTCTCTCTTCGTATTTCTCACAATACACAACCTACCCCTTCACAATGCAACTACTCTACGTCCCTTTTTTTTAACAACGCTCTTATCATAACGTAAGATTTAGGGAAAATATGGAACAAAGTTGGACGGAATGTGATCTGACATTTTCGCTTTATTAAACTATATGTATCATCTTTCTTCGATAGAATTCTCCTCTGCTTCCAACACCCCCATGACATCAACTGTCCACTCCCTTATCTTTTCCCCTGGAGGCAGATACGGACGTCTTGGCCAGAACGCTTCGCTCTTGATCCCTAATTTCGAACCTAGAAAATGCCCTGCAGCAAACTTTGTCAGCGCCAAACTCTTCTTGCAGGCCCACTCTGCATTGGCCACTACATTCTGTAATGCCCTAGCTTCCTCTTTCTTGCCTTCCATCCACAAATCATACACTCTCGCTGTAGATTTTGGAAACACATTCCCCATCCCTGTCACACACCCAACGCCGCCTCCCTCGAGAGTGGGGAATAGAAAATCCGATGAGCCGCCGTACACAGAGAATTGAGCGGGCGAGAAGCGTGAAGTGAGGCGGATCGCTTTGCCGACATTTCCACATGTCAGCTTCACGGCGACAATGTTTGGGTGTTGTGCCAAAGCGGCGAGATCATCAGAATTCAGGTCCACGCCAGAGGTTACAGCGGGGAAGTTGTAGATAACAATAGGAAGTGAGCTCGCGTCAGCAACGTCTCTGTAGAACCCCAGCAGTGCATCTTCAGTAAGGGATTTGGCCCAGAAACTAGGTGGGAGTAGTAGACCAAAGGAGGCACCGGCATCTCTGGCGTCTTGCGCCAACTCAATGCTTTCATTCGTGCTTTGTCCGCTTATACCTGCGACCAAGGGATAGTTGGGAAAACCAAGATCGGTGACAGCGCGACGGGCGGTTTGGAGAATGGAAATTTTTTCAGAACGTGAGAGGAGAACTGCTTCGCCATTTGTGCCTTGATAAACAAGGCCGTGTTGGCCGGCACGAACGAGATATTGGCAGTGTTTGTACATTGCTTCGAGGTCAATTTCCTGAGTTTTTGTAGGTTTGTAAAGGGAGATGACAGGCGTGTAAACGCCGGGCGGAAGCATGATCTTCTTTTCGTCTATGGTGGATTTGGAGATAGGCATTGTGGTCAGGTCTGGTTTGCCGAACGTGTATTCTGCAGCAATACAAAGATGAAGACGAAATGAAAATAAAATAAAATCGTGAATTTGAGGATAGTGCAGCAAATAGTAAAAGGCGCGGCCGCAGCAACTCCAAATTTGAAAAGAGGTGTATGCAGAGTTTCGCTCGAACTGTCTTGTTCGGAAGGTTCTCCAGCCCCCGCGTTCCCCCACAAAGTAAGGAATACTTATCGGAGAGAAGACCGGGCGCTAATCAAGACGCCCACTGCACTATGCGTGGCTCCACTGGCGGGGTAGTTCCCTAATGTTTCTTCTTGACATGAATCACTCCATTTTCCGTAGCAAAAACAATTAAGCATGCATCTTGCCGGTCGCAAGATTCTGATCTAGACCGAGTACTTTGCAACGAGCTGCAAAATTGAAAACTACATATCGATTGGAACGAGACAAGATGAACAAAACAAGTAATTAAATGGATAACCCATGTACCAAATCCCATAGTGCCTGATCATTGCCCGCATTTCCAGGAAACACAGATACAGCAACCCGGGATAGTACGTACAAAATCTCTCAACGCGTCTCCAGAGCGGAACGCTTGCAGCAGCCTGTCCTAAGATCATTACTTTCTTCATATTCGGTTTCTCGGTAGCTGTGCCGCTTCTCGTGACTGCTCCCTTGGTGATGGCATAGCGCGGTTTAGTCTGCAGTTGTCGAAGAAATGGGACAAACGTCGCCCCAATGGTGCATGGGATATTCAATGAGGGACGCTTATCTGCACCCAAGACATTGTGTGATTTCTGCAATCTTCTCTCTGCCGTAGCTAGGGCGAATTGGAGTTCGCTTTACGCGGTATATCCTGACATTGTCAGGAACAGTTGATGGGTGGTAAGTGGTTGGAGGTGACACAGCTATGCCACAGAAATTTATGAAAAGGTGGAGGCGCGCCGACTTGATAGCTAATTGCCATTCCGCTGCATTTCTTCGGGCTTTCGCTATCCGGACAGTATCTGTCCTAGAGGGGTTTCCCAGCAATCTCCGGCATGCTGGTACCACTATGAACGACAAAATTTATCTCTGCCAAAGCATATGGACACAGATTCCCTGCACCTCGCCAAAAAAGGGGGAATGTATTGCGAAATTGAGACAAAATCAGTTCGTACTCTAATCCTTTCATATGGCTTGCACTGATCTCGGCCGATAAAGCTCTTCCAAGTATTTACATTCCTCATCTGATAACTCCACCCCCAAACTCTCCATTATCTGATTCACCCTCTCCACGCTGGTAAGCCCTACAATAGGCGAGCAGCCTTTCTTGATTACCCAAGCGGTTGCGACGCTCGCCATGCTGCACCCTTTCCTCCTACTCAGCTCCTCTACTCGTTGAATGATCTCAGGCTCTGCATCATCGAACCATTTTTTCGTCTTCGCATCGGCTTCATTCCTGCTACTTGTCGTGCCGGCGGGCCTTCCCAAGAGTCCTCTCGCTAATGGACTCCAAGGGATGATCCCTATTCCCTCAGATCTACAAAAGGGGAGCATATCCCGCTCTTCTTCGCGGTAAAGTAGATTGTAAAAAGGCTGCATAGACGTAAAAGTTGTCCAGTTGTTGAGCTTCGCTGTATATTGTAGGCGTGCAAACTCCCACGTATACATGCTACTCCCGCCGAGGTACCGCACTTTCCCCATGCAGACGAGGTCATGGAGGGCGCGCATGATTTCTTCGGGCGGGGTGTCATGGTCAAGGCGGTGGATTTGGAGGACGTCAATATACGAGGTTTGCAAACGCTCTAACGATGCCTCGACGGCGTCAAAGATATGTTTTCTGCTCAGACCCATCTGATTAACAAGCTGTTGCGAATAACTGTCTGGTGGCTGCGGCCGCGACTCGTCACCCATGACTGGGTAATAGAGTTTTGTCATAATGACAACTTTGGAGCGTGGGATCTCTAATTTCTTCATGGCGTGCCCGAGAATGCGCTCGCTTTCCCCATTGGAATAGGTGTTTGCTGTGTCCCAGGTGTTAATTCCCAGGTCCCAGGCTCGCTTGATGACTTTCATGCTTTCGTCTTCCGGTAGAGTCCAAGATGAGCCTTCCCAGGCTGGAGAGCCAAAGGCCATACAACCGAGAATAATGCGCGAGGTTTTGACGCCAGATGTACCGAGACGGGCGTATTGCATTTTGGGAGTGCTTCCGGTGGTGGGCGAAGGCGTCGACATGGCCTGTCGTGTTTCTTATCGTAAATTTGTTAGTTGAGAACTCGATTAATTACGAACTGATCCAAAAGTTCGGCAGTCACTGACTCCTCCTGGTTGCGGAGCATTGTGGCGTTAAACGGTTCTATCCCACTTTAAGATCGGAATGAAATTCCGATGGGAAGCATGCCGGGAACCTGGTTAGCTGCAGATTCTCTTCGGCCTTCTCGCCGGCTTAGGCACAACTGTTCACGCAACAGTGTTCAATGAAAATAATATGAGAATGTATTCACATGAATTACTCAACTAGATGCTTGCATTCTACAGTCTTTCTGGTCTTGCTTCCGGATCATCTACATATTCTACCACCATAATTGTTTTTGCAAGCTACTTAGCCAACAATGGGCTCCCAAATGGAAAGCAAGCAATACATCCTTATAACTGGAGCTGGCGGTTTTATAGGTCAGGAGCTTGCCGTATCCCTCCTGGCATCCTCTGCAGCAATCAATCTCGTCCTAGCCGATGTTTTTGAGCCGCCATGCCCAGACGCATCCCGTGTTGTCACCTTCAAAGCCGATCTTACGCAATCTTCTGCTGTGGATTCTTTACTCTGCTCCCAAACATGGTCAGCGTGTTATTTATTACACGGGATCATGTCTGGAGGCGCCGAATCAAACCTTGATCTTGGTCTCATCGTCAACGTCGACTCGCACCGCTTGATTCTTGACTACCTAAGGCGAAATCAACCAGGTGTTATCGTAGTTTTTCCGTCATCCCTCGCCGTCTACGGACCCCCCGACCCTTCCAGCCCTTTTATATCAGAGATGACGATTCCGATTCCGCGATCCTCGTATGGTGCGGAGAAGTTGATTGTGGAGACGTTAATCAACGATTATGCGCGTCGCGGGTTGATCGACGGGCGAATATGTCGCCTCCCAACTGTCATTGTCAGACCCGGTGCCCCATCAGCAGCCGCGTCGAGTTTCGCATCTAGTATTGTTCGGGAACCGCTAAAGGGGGAGTCGTCGGTGATGCCTGTAAATAAAGACCTCGACATGTGGGTGTGTTCGCCAACGACCGTCGTGGGCAATCTTGTTGCTATCAAGGATGTGTCTGCAGAGAAGTTCGGCTCGAACCGTGGAAGAGCTGTCAACCTACCTGGTCAGACGGTTAAGGTGGGCCAGATCCTCGATGCGCTAATGGAGGTGGGTGGCCGCGAGGCATTAGCACTGGTGGAGGAAAAGCGGGATGTCAAGGTGGAGGCTATCGTTGCCAGCTGGCCGGCGCGATTCGATATTACATTGGCGGAATCGTTGGGATTGAAAAAAGATATGAGTTTAAAGGAGGAGGTGGAGAGGTTTGCGAAGAGTTTGAAAGCTTGAAAGCGATGGCCACGGATCTATCCCATTCCACCGAAATTGAAGTCAAAGTTTCCAAAATCTGATAACAGAAATTGGGAAGTTGTCAAACCAAAATCTGCTTCGAAACCGCTACCGACAACGTCATTCGCATATATGTTACCCGCGTCGCTAGGATTAAGTGTTGTTACCGTATGGTCGATACAATGTGACACCCCGATCTGCGGGTCATCGTTGGTGGAGGGATTGTGCATTTGCAATACAGAAAGACATTGAATCTTGGATGCCGCCATCCTTTCAAGGCCATCAGCCATCAAGTGGACTAAGTGATATTTGCCGGTAGATGTTGATCTGAACTGCTGGACCACTCTGGTAATCAAGTCAAGAACAAAGCCGTCGTCGATGTATTGGCCCGAATGCTGCGCGGATACTTTCAGTAAGAGTACACAAGCAAAAGCGATCATGGAGTGTATATAATGGGGAATTCCAACGAGGCTTTCCCGTACGTCTGGGTCACCAAGTATGAGCTCAATGATAGCCGTGGACGCGGAGACGGTAGCCATTGCACTTCCCCGGAAGTGTGTTGGGACAGCAGCGCCTTCGAGACCGCGGAACACATGAGAATGTAGATAAAGCTTTGCGAAATGATGGTGTAGTATAACGCCTTTGGTGGGAAATTCCCCAATGCGCTCATGTAGTTCTTTGCATATTAGCCTGATACAAAGACATGGCGCGACTTGGACCTACTCATCAACTCCGTTGTCCAAAATCCCATCCACTGATCGATCCGCTTTCCGAAACTCGCCAACTGCGGCACAAATGCCTTAGGGACTGGTTCCCCTGTGTCAGGTCCGAAAAGGTCCCGGATATTGCTCATAATGATCAACAAAGCAATCTGGCTAATCATGCGTCTATCAGAGTCAGTGACCACGGGTGACTTCAGGAGCTCTTCCCATTCCAGGATTGATGCATCTTCATGAATAATGCTCTGGCGGCCATACAGAACAGACAGGTGGTGATCACAGATGTATAGTATATACCATATCCTCATACAGTCCATAGCATCTTCGCTGTTCTTGTGGATAACCAGCTTGTAGTTTTGATGCAAGTTAATCTCTGTGGCTCGGCGAATAGCACATCCAGAAAGGGTCCAAGAAATGTCGTGGAGCCAGTATGCGCCGATACACATGGCACGCATACAGTCTTGATTGATGCGGCGCTTAAACATGGATGCCGCCACTAGGCGACGAAACTCCTTGTTGCAAGGCCCATAAAGATGATTATCGGCGGGATCATGAAGCGCGGCAACAGTGCATATGGCAGCAGTCAAGATAGGAGAGCTGCGTCGCATGCTTTCAAGATCCCGATAATTCCCACCGCCGAGTAAATATATGAACTTATCAATACGTTGGAGATAAGCCTTTACAAGACGGTTGGCATCTTCGGCGCTTACAATACCCTTTGAGATAAAGTCGTTGATGGGCTGGTTCGGGGAGGGCGCGGGGTAGGGGACGGATGCGTCAGGTATATCATCAGAACGTAGAGCCCTGAGCCGAGTGATTTGGTATAGTGATTCTATGGGGACATGAAGTGCATCGTTTCCTGGGGATAGTCGAGGCGAATTATCACATGAGGGCCCGGGGTCGTCACGTTCAGTCATGTTCTGGAGTGATTCATCATGCTGAGTAGTAACTTCCGATTGAAGAGGAGGAAGAGGAGGAAGGGACAATCGTGATAGAACTTGCTGCAATGCACCATGTACGTGCTCAAGGTCGGCGGCCAGCGTATGTCTCCATCTACGTGCAGCTGTCAGTCTCAGCTGCGGACAAGCTGTCGTGCTATATCGCACGCAACTACTATACGTACTGACCACGCTCCTCAATCAGCGTCTGCAGGCTTTTGTTGAGTACGCATGCTAGATTCCGCTCCGTACACCGCTTGCACGGCGGTCCACGGTCGTCAATTATGCACTTGATCTAAATTGTTGAGGGTTGACTAGTCAGCTGATACCATCCGGACTTCTCTGCGGACTGAGTGGGTTGCCACGAGGTAGCCAAACCTTTTGTTTTCGACAAGCGGCGCACGCCTTTACTTTGCGGGAGATGGATGGTGCATGGATGTCAAGAGACGAGTCAGATGGTCTCGATCGTGGAGATGACTGTGCATCATTTGTAGGAGACCATGGCCTTTTTGGTGGCATGTTTGTTAATTTGTTTGGAATGGATGAACTGGCATGGAAATGCGAGATGGTCCATTTCCATTTTCTCGTGTCCCCCCCTCCCCCGATTGACTTCCCACCTTCGGACATCGGGCCGATGGCAATCCTCTAAGAGCGGTGTCCCCAATACGTCACCGAGCTCAATGAAATCGAGCAATAATCAGACAATCCCCTGTCAACCACATGACTTTTATGGGCCTGTTCAGTGCCGCGTTTTGCGTCTCCATTTTTGATGCCTATTCGGGTAAAGAGGTTTGACAGGGAGGGCTAGCTAGCGTCGCGGCTATACAGATAAGTAGTTTAACAGCCCGGCACCCGGTTAACAAAAATACCGGTACTCCGAAACGGCTTAGCGCACCACAACGCCGCGTACAACCCACCAAAACAATATAAAAAAATGAATAGTTTTAAAAGCCTGGCTTGCGATGCTGAGATTGGAGCTTAAGCTGCACTCTCCTTTAGTATCGTCAGCCGGGCTATTAAAACTATTGATTTAAGGCGCGCCTGCGGCGCGCGCTCTTTGCCTCTGGCGGCTCCTATAGACAGTAAATTTTATCTAGCTACTCTAGCTAATTTAGCTAGTCTAGCTGGTTCGGCAAGTTTAGCTAGTTTGGAAAGTCTAGGTGGGTTACCTAGTTTACCTTATCAAGATAGCTTAGATCGTTTTTAGCCATTAGAGACTCAAGATCTAAATTAATGCAGAATTTCTAAAATATTAGATTTCTAATATCTTAAAACATTTTAAAATATATAACTAGTTATTAGTAAACATATATATTTATATAGAGAGGAGATATGAAAAAAGAGTACTCTAAAAAGTTCTAGTTTTTAAACTAGTATAACTTGGTGAGTTTTAGAGCTATTCCTAATCAGGCTCGCTTATTTTAAAGCCAAGAAGTATGAGTTTTACCTAGACAGGCTTAATGCCTGCTTAGTTAGCACGGTTAAGGCACTAAATAGCGCTAAAGTAGAGCTATAAAAAAACGCTAACTTTAAGCCTAAATATCTCTCTAATTATAATAGCTTTTCTTTTAAAGAAGATATATATTATATAATAAATCATTAATATTAAGATTCTAGAGTCTTTATATATTCTAATTAAGATTCAATTAGAAAAAAGTATTTCTTAATATAAACTATTTTTTATTAATAACTAAGTAATGATAGCTACTAATACTTAGTATACCAGCCTTTAGCTTCTATTATCTACCTATAATAGCTAGGTAAAGATAAAATATAGTTATCTATTACCTCTTATAGAATAGCTTACTACTCTTCTAAAATGACTTATTTAAACGTTTTAACGCTCTCTTTATTAAATCTAATATCTAAAGAACTTATTTTTTTATTTATTTAAATAGTCTTTAAGTAAGCTTTATATATTTTTAATAGGGTTTTAATCTAGGCTA